AAATCATGGCTTAAGGTTTCTTTAAGCATCTGTTAAATTAAAGCATACCCTGAAGGTCTCCTCTAAATAGGATAGGTGTGTACAGTCACTACAGCACCTCAGAGGATTGTTCTATCCTGTCTCTACTTCCTGCAACACAAGGAGCCTCTAAGTGCATTCCGAAAGTTTATTAACATTTTTGGATTGCCAGAGAATCGCTGACTGGAAATAGTTCACTAAAAAGGTACCCTTATTCATTTTGGGAGCTAAGGGTGGAGAAGGCATTTCTAGACAATTCTAACCTATGCCCAAAGAATAATTTCATGCTGACAGGTTTTTCTTATGAAATTGTTTCTTAATGATTTGAGTGGTTAGACCAAGCTTGCATTCAGAAAAAGATCATTTGGAGATGTCCTGATAAAAGACTTCAAAATTCAAAAATGTTGTCAGATCACTTTGTCCATATTGTAAAGAAATGTGACAAACCAATCACAGAACTTTCGCTATAGCTAGAGAGTTTAAATAATGGATAATAATAATGATGTTAACATGGCTAGTAGAATCAACAGATCTTGTATGATAGTCAAATGTTTGTAAGAAGAGTCTAGGTTGCTAATTATGCCACTCATTTCCCTCTAGATGGCTCTTAAGAAAAGAGACCCTCTGGTTGTGGACTTTTTGATAAAGAAAGGCCTTAAGCACTGAATATTTGGTTTCCTCTCATTATCACCTACTCTTCACTGGCATCAGCTCCTTCTTTACTTTCACAAGATAATGCTCTCTCAAAGTACATAAATTAGGAAAACACACAGTTCAGAAAGCTTATTGCCATCTATGTAAATCAAAGCTCTAATGATCTAAAGAGGGATGTGAAATGAGAAGGAAAAGCAGAAAAGGGACAGAGTTGCTTTAAAGCTAAGCTAGTCCTGTTATTTATGTATGCACACAATATGACAGTAATAAAAGACTTTAAACCTGCTGATCATCTCGCAAATATATTAGTGATACACAGAACATCTGTGGGCAGAGGGAAGGGAAAAGAATATGTCCAGTAGACTGACTCTAGCAATGATCAGGAAACCCAAAGGCTTAGTTTTTGCACCCAGGGGCAAGCGCAGTGGCAGAGAAGCATGCTTGCATTCTTAAATATATAAATATATATATATATCCACAAGGAAAAAGAAAATAAAAATTAAATAAATTATATTTTAAAAAAATCAAACCAAACCAAAGAAACAGAAAAAAAAAGGCTGGCTTGTCAGGGGATGGGGTCAAGAAGGCCCCGGTGTGTGTACTTACATAGAGGTCAGCACCGTAAAATCCGTCCTGGTAAACCACACTGCAGAAAATCCACACAAAACAAAAACAAAAAACAAAAGAACAGAAACACATTCCGGTTATTGAGGACGGCAGCATGCACATGCGCTCTACACAGGCAGGTGATGTATGAACACATAACCTGGGTTTGGGGCCACGGCAAGTCATGAGAACGTGAGGTGCATGCGCGTCACACAGCTCCAGGACATGCAAAGTGGGGGAGGGATGCCAAACCGGAGGCAACGCCCTATATATCTGGTCATTAAAGTAAGATCAAAACAGTAACGAGTATTCCCAGAGGGCCTAACACAGCTATCAAAAATCTGGATTGGAAACATCAACTTTTCATACTTGAAGTATTTTTTTTAAAGCTTGCTCTAGGAGGAAGTTCTTCTTTAAAAAGGTTCAAAAGGGGTGTGTGTGTGTGGGAGGGGGGCATGTAGAGATGGGTTTAACATGAAAATAATGAACCCAAAGAATTCCATTAGGGCAGGACCTGTACGCAAAGTACGTTTCAAAATTATGTTTAGTATTTTGTTTTCAGTTTCGTAACAATATGTAAATTTTTTTCTGATATCCATACATCACCTGCTTTTTACCCTGCACATTAGACATGCGATAAGATTTGGCTGATCACACAAGCATGCAAAGTATTATTATTCAGCATTTTAAGAACCAATGCAACACCTCAGAAAAACAAGTCAATCAATTCTGACCAAAGTAAACAGAGAAATGTAATTAAAAAAAAAAAAACACAACCAAAAATACCCACAATGCATTGCTTTCACAAGCAGAGATCATGAGCTAAAGGTTAAGGTGATTGGTCCAAGGTCCAAGAATTGAAAGGTGCAGTGGGGATCCCAGATAGTAACAATATAATCCAGAGTGGGAAGGAGTAACTGGAAGATTTTAAGGGTTCTTTTTTGACCATAAGAATATTCATGGAATTCTGAAAAACACAATGGATAACTGACGTTCTGGGCATGACCTGTTTTATTTAAAAGAATAAAACTGAGAAGGTAGCTGATTAAGAACAGAAGTGTTTATTTTTGTGTTTAGAAAACAATTTCTATCAAAAAAAATACATGACTCTCTCTTTTTTCTAATTCTGAGCAACACTAAACTATTATAATTAAAATATAGATTTCAAACCTTCTGAGGTATTTTGTGCATATAATTTCCTCAAAACATCACTTTGGGACCAAAAGATATGAACAGCAGTAGAGACAAAAGATAAGACTTTCTTCTTCATATTTGTTAAATCAAAATTTGGCTATTTTAAATTAGAAGATCTGTTTATTTATTCAACTAAACAAGCTGGGAATTTTCACTACTACCTTCTCTGTTACAATAAATAAGCTAGCAAGTGAGGTCGTCAAATCACATTTTTAACTTGGATATGAAATAACTTATTTCTTATAGGTAGCCGGAAAGTTTCTGAATTCTACTTCCAATGACATTTTGCTGTGTTTACAGGATAGTATGGTCACGCTTTGCAATGCCCCAAATATGATGTGCCTTTGTATTATACAACAAATTAAATTCATTTGTGATGTTCATTTAGCTAAGTTCTACCCATTTTTATACTTTCCAATTGCAGGTAAAGTCTGATATTAGAAAGTAATCTGCCTCTCAACTGCATTTTAGTAAAAAAGAGACTTGTTCATAATGAGAAGGCTGATAAACTGCAAAGCACTGATGCCAAGTGGTGATTAATTAACTTTCAACTATTTCAGTAAGGGGATATAGGCAAAGATTTAAAAATATTTCTTCTATAAAGAAGAGTGGTGGCATTAAAAACATGAATAAATTTTATGCTAAGCTGCATCACTCACTGGGAATATTCACCTAAATTCTACAAGAATTCCAATATTCCCTGTATCAAATGCCACAAGGAGGCTGGAACACAATGATTAACGATGAAATTAATTCACTAAGCTGAAAAGCAACTTTAGGCCATTCTCCATAAAATACTGGACTTATTCCTTGCCATCTTCCATGTAAACAGGCGGTTTAGTTAATAAAAAAGAAAACATGGGAAATTAGCGTTCAATGTAATGCACAGAAATTGATGTGATTAGACATAAAGATAAAATATCTTTGAGCAAATATATACCTGAAACAGACTTGGTAGAGAATGGGTTCTCAAGTTTGGCCAATCTACTGAAATGACCTACATTGAATAGGAACGAATTCAACCACTGTATAAAGTAACTCAGGAATATTACAGAATAAAGTCCCATGTTTCTGGTGAGCAGTATCTCTTTACAAACATGACAGTAAATTCTCTTGGATTGAAATGGAAGACGCTTCATGAACAATTTTCCTAGTGTGTAGAACTTCCAAAAGGTTTGTTTTTATGTTTTACTTGAATATTTCTTGATAAAACAATACTGAATCTTTATTCACGTCTTTAAAGAGATGTCAGAGGTTGAAGGTCAAAGGTCAAGTTGAGAGAAAAAAGGATAAAATTAAAAGTAAGTAATGGCAGAAGATGGAGATGATGGAATGTATGGGATTTAAACACCTATAAACTGCAAACAAAAGTTTATTTCTAAAGCAGTTCCCTTCCAGTGGCTTTTGGAGCCTGCCCATTTCAACATGCATACTTGTCTTGTCTAATAAAAATGCTTTAATTCTGTGCAATGGAGGACTCCTAATGGCATGTCCATTTGGTCTATGAATGAATGTTAAATTAGCACACCTCAAAGCCAATTTTGCTGTCAGAAAAGGACCTACAAAAGAGGCTCTTTCTCTTTACATTTTAACTAAGTAGAAATGAATAGGCTCCACTATATTTATTCCTCAGTAAGAATATGGGAAATAACCTGTCATAGGCAGAGAAAAGATGAAGAACACAAATGTCACATCTTTGAAGAAAGAAAGTCCTTGATACTACTAACTTATAAAAGTCCACTCTTTATAAAAATATACATTTTTAGGCTGACAGTGAGAAACAACTAAAAACAAAACCTGCCATCTTCACTCCTTCTCCCTTATTCAATAACAAAGGATTTATTTGTTGCTATGGAATCATTCCACTGCATGAGACACCCTCCATACAAAAATCAAAGGGTGAAGGATGCTCAGCTACATTAGCTATTTTACCATCACTCAGAAGCCAACTGTAGTTTAATTCTTCCTACTTCTCCCTTTCTCCCTTGATTCAATTGGACTTGGTTCATCTTTGAATTAAACTCTTTTAATCCGTTTCCTACAAAGAAAGCAAATCCATTGTGGGTAACTAGCTCTGCTGCTCACCACCCAGGCAGTGAAACCAAAAAGGAAGGCACATGTGATAGCCTCAGCCCCAACACAGGGTGGTGATAGGGGTGAACACAGCAGATGCAGTCTTGTACTACAATCTTGAGCTCCTATTTTGGTTCTCTGCAGTAGTGTTAATCCATATTCGTGCGATGCTGAGTGAACTCCATGCCAACACACCGCTAGTAAACACAAGACGGTCTGGCTACTGTCTTAAGCCACTACCACGAGGGCTTAAGGTGGCCAAAATGAAGATTTATCTAATGAATTGATATTTTGTTACATTCTGATGATGGTATATTTTGGTTCTTGCCATCTAATCCATTAATTTGCAAATATTCATAGAACCTCTACTATGTGGCACGGCAACGTCCCAGAAGTTATGAGGGCCATGGTATTCCTTTTTTGTCCTACTGCTTATTTTGGAATCGAATGCTTACCCTGGATAGGCGGGAATGGCTGTTGGAGGTACCGCTCGGACTGCACCGTATACTGTCCGCCCTCTGCCTCTCAGATGGGCTCCTCTGAAAGCAGCCGCCGTGGTGGCTGCAGTTGGGTAAGGGAAGCCAGGAACTAAAGGGAGACCCAAAATATGACAGAAATGTCAACTTGCACTCAACAGCAGGTGTATAACCACAACTCCCTTTGAACCAATAACAGGAAAGATTAAAAGATATGCACAACTTTTCTGAAAAAGAAATGGAAAGAGAGACCCAATATGCAAAAGCTAATGATTCCACGCCTCACTCATCACAAGTCTTGAGTGAGTTTTCTCTGCTCCTTCCCAATTTTGGCATTACAGTGCAAGCTGGTGAGAAACAGGTCAAGAAGCTCTGAGAACTACTGCCATAATAAGAGATCAGACTTTTAATTTCTGTGGGCAGTTTAAATTGACTGATATAAACTCCTTAACTGGCCAATTATTAATCTTGTTTCCAAACATTATTATGTACATATAATAATTATTCCTCATAAGAACAGTCTTTTGTGTTTTTACATGGTGCCAAACTCCTAGGCACACAATTGTCTTTAGACATTTCATTAGTCAACTTTACTCCTTTATCTAAAATATTTTAATCCAGAAACGTAAGGCAAGAGGGGAACTGCCTCTCCGCTGTAGCCTTGTAGGCTTTAAAGAGGCAGACATTTTCTAAGGGTCTATTTTAAGTGCGCTAGCCTCTGCAAAGCACACAGAGACACTGATTCCACATCCACTGAACTCTGTTTAATTATACCTCTTGCTGGAACAAAATGGCTCAGGTCAAAATGACTTTACAATGTCCGCAGAGCTGAGAATAATCAGTAACACTGGAGGTGCTTTTAAGTGGTACTCTACTACAGAGCCCAAGCTGACTTGCAGAAAACACGCATAATATATTCCACAAATACTTATTCTTTTGTTTTCTTTATTATCAAGTGCAGACTAAAGTGTTCTTTACATGCCCTCCCTCCCCTCTACCTTTTCCAACTATTTATGCTTTGTGGCAATCTTAGTATTTGGTCGGAAAGATTCTAGCACAGGCTAAGCAGAACAGAGCATTGTGATGGTATTCATCTCTCTCGAGAATGCCTCCTTTTCAGTTATGTATTATACTTTGGGAGAAAAAAAAGACTAGCACATCACTGTTTACTCACAACAGTCAAAATCCATGCTAGGCCAACATAGGCTACTTACTGATTAAAGGAATGTAAGTGTTAATACCCCCTCTTCCAGATAGGGGCACTGCCGCATCATTGCCTAGGGACACATCTGCTTGAAAGCTGGATGCTGATTGCATTTAAAAAAAATTAAAAAATGCAAAAAGATTACAAAGGAATAGCAAATTGAAAAACAACAGATGTTGTTACAGTTAAATAGCACAAATGGAAAAATTAAACACTACCTGCATATAACTCAGGGCCATACACAGCTCCAACTACTGGGCTTAATTTCCAACCTGAAATGAAAGAGAGGACAGTGAGCATTTAAGATGACATGAGGAATACAGGGAAAAGGAGGGATGTGCAAGTCGGCTTCAGACATCGCTGGGTTTATTTTTGCCTATTACCAACTTCTCTTTAGAATGCCAGTTGGGGGTTTATATGAGAAGGTGATGACATTTCCAGACCTGATTATCTTTAAGTAGGACTAGCACAGTGAAGGGATAATGAGGGGCTGGGGTAGGGGGTAAGGATAAAGGAGGGAGAGAAAAAAATTGGGAGGGAGGCAGGAAGATGAAGAGGAAATGAGAAAAGAAATATAAATAGATCCTGGGGTTTGGTATAGTATCTCTCATAGAACTGCCTAATGACCTATCCTTTGTTTAGAAAAAGGAAAAAAGGCAGAAAAATGTCATTCTATACCACACTGTGATGTGCTTTCTTATATGTCATCTTAACACTGTTTACTACTCTATCTGTTTTATAAAGGTATCCTCTGACTGAATTCAAATTTGACCTGGATCTTTGAAGTCCCTGTTCAATTATACCATGCTGATGGTATTCTGGGTAAACTGAGATCGCCTTTGACTGGGATTTACCGCTGGGATTTCACTGGAGCTAACCAAGTCAACAAGGAGAGATACGCAATAATAAAATTCATTGTACATTCCCAACTTCAGTGCACGTCTTCTGAGATTTTAATTTGTAATCAACATATTTAAATTAATCAGACATTTTAGCTAAAGGATATGAGACTGCTGTTATTAATTAAACACTTATAAATTTTAAGTATTTCCAAACATTAGGTTTGACGTCAATTTTATTTTTTTCATTCTCTTTTTTATACTTATATAAGAATTTATATTTGTAGGAATGGTAAATGCCAAAAAAAGAAAAATGTACTAGTGCCCACTGATAGCTAAAGAGTAGTAGAACTCTATATGAAAACTTTAATCAATAAATATTTATTGAATTTTATACATAAATAAGCAAACACGCCTATTATTCGTCTGCAAGACTGGCTCTTCGGTTTACTTCTTTTATATTATTTAGGGCTAACATCGTGCCACTGTCACTCTATAAATAAACGATTGGAAAGAAGAAAAGGCCAATTACCAGATTTAAATGGCTAAAAGCAAAGACATTATTCAAGAGAAAACCCATTCATTCTCAATCATTCCAATCCCCCACTCATTATTTTATGTGTTTACAGACATGCCTCTTCATTATTCTACACAAAGAATTTGGCAAAACCTGGGGTCAAATCCTACTGGAGTTGTAAGAGCACAAATGTTCTGCAATGTCAGATAAATCAAGTGATAAACTAAACTAAAAGGCTGAGAATTCACTGGAAGGCACTTAGCACACCCTTCTCAGAACCTTGAACACGGCAGCTGCAGGTTTCTCAACTCTGGCTCCATTAGGCTTGAATATTGACTTAGAATAATATTTTTAAATGGCCTTTTACTTTTCTTGTGTTATTTATGTATTTATTTTTTGTGAGGAGGACTAGCCCTGAGCTAACACCCGATGCCAATCCTCCTCTTTTTTGCTGAGGAAGACTGGCCCTGGGCTAACATCCGTGCCCATCTTCCTCTACTTTATATGGGACGCCGCCACAGCATGGCCTGACAAGCGGTGTGTAGGTGCATGTCTGCGATCTGAACCTGCGAATGCTGGACTGCTGAAGCGGAGCGCGAGTATTTAACCGCTGCACCACCAGGCCAGCCGCCTTTCACTTTTCTAATACAGGCACTATTACTTAATTAAGCAGGCACTCCCTTTAACTGCATATAACGGATGCACGTTATAATAATGGTATGATGTCAATAATACTTTGAATATATTTAGTTTTGTACAATTTACAATGTATTTTCACAGATGTTTATGTCATTTGACCTTCACAAAACCTGAAGAGAGAGATAAGACAGGTACCACATCTGGGCTTCATTTCCTAAATAATAAGCTAAAAGGGTTGGGTTTTGATGACATCTAAAGGACCTTCTGGTGCTAAAATTCTGTGACTGCTAATTTACAGATGAAAACAGAACCAGATAGGTTAGAAAATTGGCCCACTGTCACAGAGTAAAATAAAGAGTCAAATCTAGAAGTAGAATTTCTGTCTTCTGAATTCCAGTCAGCGGCTCTTTCTGCCACACCATTCTCCCTGGATCCAAAGGAAATTTGACATAGTTTGCCTCGCCTTCCTATTTTGTTTACATTGGGTTTCTATCAAAATTGCAGAAACTTCTGTTTTTATGATAGCAGTGAAAAGAAGAAACAAGAGGTAAAGAGGGAGGTGGTGGTACCACATGATATGCCACTGATAAAATGAGTAGGGACAACACCAGTTATGCTGCACTGCATCATCTGTTTGAAGAGAGGCTCAATGCACACACTGCAGACTCCGTGGGATATACTCAACACTAATATACTTCTGCTTGATTCACGACATTACCAGCACACACCGTCATACTCCAGCAGTGGGTTCAAACTTCTACAAAGCAATAAAGAGGGAGAAACCCCTCCTCCCATTCTAGATACATCTTATGCAGAACTCTAAAATATACAACAGAGAATGAGGAGTTGTTCAGACCAAAGTAGAGCTGGAGGCCTCAGGATCCAATCCATTTAGTTTCCTCTTTTCTCCCCCCAGATGCCCTGTAGAACAATCTGCAAAACTACTGTTGTACTGCAGATTAAAATTATATTCCACCTGATTTAGAGAACATGAGTCTAGATGAAATACGACAATTGATGTGAAAATTCACAGAAAATTTCCTTCTCAGTGAGAAACATCTATAAAACTCACTATATAACATGTAGTCACAGAACAGAAAATAGAAAATACACCCCCCCCCCCCATGGCTGTTACCTCTAGAGCATACCATTAAAAGGAGAGCAAGGGGTCAAGAATTATTCCACTCATGCTCACATGAGTAGGAATCACTAGTAAAAGTGAGCGTTGGCGGGCATCCAGGGGTATTATGGACAAGCCTAATATATTACAAAGAACTAGAGCAGCTAAAAAAGAGGGTGCCCTAGTGGGACCTCACTTGGGTTAACGGGTAACCTCAAGTGACATGTTCACACTATGTATAACATGAAGTTTACTGAGACCATAAACCTTTAATAACTAAAAAACAGCTTCATTCTAAGAAAAAGGTAATTTGTAAAAATAAAATACTCTCCTAGGTAAAGAAAATGCTTCAGTGTAAAAGAAACAGTCTTAAGACTGAAATTGGGAGATTCTTTGATGTTTATGAAAAGTCCATATATTTACACAAGAATAAATGACATCCTTCTGAAGATGATTTGTAACCACTTACCATTTGCATATGGTGTGACCATCTTCTTATTGGTCATTACACGTGCCGTAGCATTATTCACCTAAAGATACAAAGTAGAAAGAAGGGGCAGGGAGGAAGTAGACCACATTAGGGAACATGGAGTTGCTCATCCAATAATATAGTACTCAGTTTAAAATGTAAATTTCAGAGAGCATTGATTTAAATAATTAATACACAATATTAATATATAGTATTTTAATTAAAGTGTTTATAAATGAGGCTAACAAGAGTAAATTGCAGTTTCTTGGTCTCCAAATGGAAAACTAGGGCTACTTTACCATCCAGTATTCCAAAGAAAAAATACATTTGCAAGTTTTTTTGGAGATCTCTTAAACAGAGAAGTCTCTGCATTAAGGAAAATATGGAAAAAAGTAAATTGGAAACAACTCTGTTTGCACATGAACTTTGAAGTTCATTAATAAAACAGAGGCTTGTCACGCTGGTGAGGAAGCAGATTTATAGGAAGAGAAGAAAATAAATCTATGGATTTCACCTGTTCTAATGTTCAGCATTTTGGATTTCACCTGTTCCAATGTTCAGCATTTTTGATATGTTTGTATAGATTTTATGGTTTGAGGTTAGTGAACAAATATAAGAACTTAGATTCCCATGTTGAGAGTCTTCAGGACCATTCTGAATTTTCTAAGACTACGTGTTCTATCCATTTAAGAATGAAGTTTTCAGAAGAATTTTAAATTAGGCTCTTAATTGAAAAAAGAAAGCTTGTGTTTCTTTTGTTTTATGGTACTCTCCACCCTCATTACAGAACTGCATAATTGAACGCATTCTCAATGCTAGGGTAAGCAGGTGTTACAAAGATGGTGCTGATGGAGAAAAGGTGAATGGAGCTTGGAAGCCAGGACACTGCAGCCCAGCATCAGAACCAGCCTCAAAGCTCTTGCAAGGAGGGTAAAGCCCTACCACAGAACTTGATTATATACTGTGCTGTCAGGTCATAAAAAAGGCCAGTTTTTAAAAGAATTATAAAACATATGAAATATAAATATGTCCTATTTCGCCTTTGGGGATTTACATTATGTTAAATTTGCACAGTGATAAATTTGTGTTATGAAAAGACCAATTTTGGGTAGAATTGGAATTAAAAAATGTCTTAATATGTCTTGTAGGATTTGTACAGAGATAATCTTCCCATGTGAGGAAATGAGCTTGAAACTACATTTACTCTAGTTTGACCCACCAAATAATATCAACATTTCACATTTAAAAAGAAAGAATGGGATACAACAATGATGAGACTGAGAGCATGCAGTTAAAAAACACACACACACGAATAAAAGAAAGAAAAAAACAATCACTTTTGGAAAGGGAGAAAGTGAGGAGCGAGGCTCTCACAGAGGAGGATTAGAATGGGGCAGGAGCTTACAGAAGCTGCTAGAGCAGAATGCACCCAAGCACTTAAAGGGAAATGGCCAGAACCAACCAGAAACCACCCATCAGCAAGAGATCAACAGCTGCATGTAACAGAGAGAAGGGGGAGGGGGGGAGGAAGAGGGGAAAGGAGAGGAAAAGGACTGGGTGGAGAACAAAAAGGCGGGGCAAAGAGAAGAGGACGTCAGGACAGGTGTTACGGGCAGGAAGGAGAGCTGTCAAGGGCAAAGAAGGAACAGTCATAGCTACAAACAGACTGGGAAAGAGGAAAGTAGGAGAGGCGGTAGGGGCAGGAAGTGCATTATTAAAACCAGCCAAACTGGAGTTCAGTAACTCTGAGTAAGATGTGCAAGGGGGAAAATCACCATGACGTCAGTAATCAAACAGCTCAGACTGCTACAAAACAATATGTACATCCCAAGTCCAGGCGGCATTACTCAACAGCATTGAAAATAAAAGGAGGAAAGGAAAAGGAAGAGGAACAACAAGTCAAATCACATTTTGTAGTGTTAATGTGAGATGGCAGATGGACTTTTTCTTTCTTATTTAATTGTCTTGTAATTACATTTTAAAAAGCTTCTTCTCTAGTGCTTTTGTTTCACTTACCGCCAACGGGCACCATCGCCAGCATTGTGTATAGTTACCATGGAAAGAGTGAGTCAAGTGAAGGGCCCTAAATGCTAAACCATTGGAAAGGGAGGGGGAAAAAAAGCAAAATATGCAGACATCTTACTCAAAATGGCGGCTTGTATATTTCATACTTATAAAAACTGGGAAAGGGGAAAGGAGCCAGTTAACCTTCACTGCGTTATTAAAAAGGGCTGGTGAACGCCAGATGGCACATTTGCCAGGCAGCCATCAAACCCTCTGTTTGAGGATTTTCTCCATTAACTGTTGAAATTCTTGATATTAAATATATTTAAAGACTACATGAGTTTCGGATTCTTTCCTCCCTCCCCACAACCTCTACAATCTTCTTTTCCTTGCTTATCACACGCACATGGAGGCGAACTGGCCTCTCAAGAGAGAGAGGGTATTGGCTGGCCCCTTGATTCATTACAGGACACAATGTTATAAACTGGATAGTTTTTAGACATTTTTTAAGTTAGTTTTATTTTGGCCTGATCACAAGAGTTCGGAGTCTCGCAAACTGAAGCAAAGGAAAAAAATCAAAAGAGCAGAAGGATGAACATTTTGGAGGAAAAAGTAAATGAAAAACAAATACACATACATACACAGAAGTAAATCAAAATTATAACCCCCAAACAACCAAAACATGGGGGGGGAGGAGGACAGAAGTGTTACTTTTATATATTTTAGTGCAAGAAGGTGAAGGACACAGGGACACAAACACACACACACACACACAAGACAGGGTTCCAAATGTGAAATAAGTGAGGCAATACACAAAAAGAGAAATAAAAATATAAACCAGAAATTGAATTATTGAAGACATGCACCTCGATTTTACGGCCCTCTACCACGGTGCCGTGTAATTTCTCCCTGGCCCTGTCTGCATCAGCACTATTCTCGAAAGTTACGAACCCGAATCCCTGCATGCAGCGGGAGAAGGGGGGAAAACATGCACAACGTTATATTGAAATACTGATCTCTTGGTAAATAGAGAAAAAATATCACAGTATGAAACTGACATCAGCAACAACTCAGCAATACTCTCCCAAAGTCACATTTTTGGTCCATGCATATTTTGTAAAGGGAAATTAAATCCAATAAAAGAATAAAGAACTGTAGTAGTAGTAGTAATTATAATAGTAATAATAATAATAATAATGTAATTAATAACAATAATAAAACATAAAGCTTGTGAGGCCAGACCAAAATTAAGGTATAGAGTTACTCGGGTCAAACTATTCAACCAGGAATCTGAACTTTTTTTTATATCCTACCTTTCTCTCTCAGTTCATGCTGTTAATACACATGTCCCTTTATACAATACTAAAAAGTACTTAATTAAATCTATTATTCTCCAGTAACTTCTACATGAAACCTTATCTTTAGGTGCAGTCATTGTATAAAGAAATTTTTTAGGAGGTCTAATCAGTTTAGCTCCACTCTGGCTGTTGCTTGATCACTAACTCCTTTTGGAACAGGATACTTTCAGATACAGTCTTGATGTATAATTCCGCAGGTACTGGGTATGGAAGAGGAGAGTACTCATGTTCGTCTAAGCAAATGAAAAGATCACTAAGCAGTGGTCAGTCAATTGCGACTTTTTTTCAATGCCAATTTTAAACGACCAGACTGGCACTTAAGAGTAAAAGTATGTTCAGCTGAATTTCAGAAAACTACGTTTCCAAATTTGCCTAAATTATACATCTGTTGAAGCCTACATCTGCTACTAAATGTATTAGTAATTTTCCATATAGAGAAAGAAGCAACAGTCAAAAGGCAATGGGAATGAGATCTGCATTAGTGACATCAGTTGCATACTATTCAACAGGAAAAGAATACCATAAAACAGCAATACAGTTGCTACTACGAGGTAGGATTAATTTGTGCATTGTAGATGCTGCAAAAAAACCGCAGAGCTTTAATTCACTAAGCAGACAAACCAGGAGACCAGGGAGTTAACCCACTTTACTCCTCTGTTCACATGATATCTGAAAAGACTGTCTGGGTCATAATCATACTACCAATTTCAACATCAGCAGGATTCAGTATATATTTATATGACTATTTCATAAAACATTATATTATGTTCATTCTAGGTGCTTTATCCTTATCTTTCCACTCTGCAACTATAAAACTTTCTCAAGCTATTTATATCTTAGAGTGCTAAATTCTTAGGATTTTCTGGGAAAGTCCTCATTTCTCAACAGCTTCACTGTCCCTCTCGCATTCTTTGAGTATTCCATTGTAGGATAACCTGGAATCTTTATTTTTACTGAAGCTCTGCTTTGCTGCTTAATACCATGGGTACTCCTATATCTACGAAACATGCTCCTAACTGAGCTGGTAAACTGTGCATTGCTCATTAAGATTTTACAAAACAGCTCCTTTGTTTTGAAGGATCTGATTACCTAGCACTCTAAATGATTATATAGTTGGGTGGTGATCCATGGAGGAGACCAATGGATTATCTCTACCTTCAATTTGGATATCACCACAAATACTCCAGATGCTATGTTGACAGTGCAATGCTAAGCTGACAGAAAATTTTAAATGTATGTTGCTTGGAATGTAACACTATGGGTAATTTTAGTCAGTACTTTCCTTAAAAACGTAAACGTGTTGAAAATATCAATGGGAACACATTTTCAGGAGTAAATTCTGATATCAGTATGTTATAGCCACTTTGACAATTCAAGGTATACAAGGGCAAGTTACTAATTAGTTACATCATTTATTATCTATACTAGCATCTGCTGAAGACAGGAAGCTAGTTTCTCCAATCCTGGAGAATCCTCCAACAGGAAAGGTAAACCTTTTAAGAAAGGTCACAGATAGTGTTGAGTTTTTATATCACATCTTAGAAGTATTATAAGCGTATTCCAACTGATTCTCACAGCCTCATACATTTTATGCCTTGGGTTAAATTAATAAATTATAAATTAGTAATCGGATAACATATTATGTGAAGACTAATACTTAGGTTCTTAATTTTAGTATTATGACTATCAATACCTACACACCCACATACATACATACTTGTTTAAATACAACCATGAGGTAGAAAGGACAAATCTGTTAATTTCATTTTGAAGGTAAAGAAACTGAGTCAAAGTGAGGTTAAGCACCCAAGCATCAACAAGGCCCAAAGCATCAATAAGGTCTTCTTCCTTCCGTGTAGCTTCTTCCTTCAGTTAATGGTGAGAAAATCAGAAATTAAGCTCTGAAATCTAAGTATTCTGTTTACTAAATTACATTAATCCTAAAATCGTTCTAATTTTCCTTTTCAACTCTAATTGCTAAATGTGTTCTATGATTCTCCTTTCTGGAATGTGTTGATAAGACATCTGTGACACGATAGCCGCATCCAGAAGAATGCAGGCTGGTATCACAAGCATTGACAATTTACAGTCAGCAAGTGACCAAGTTTAATATTCAAGTCTGCTTGTGTAAGGTTTTCTCAATAATGACTTTCATATTCTGGAACAAAATTTCACTTTCAAATGCTTTAAAATTGTTTTATAAAGAAAAGTGCTTATACTCCAAAGGAAATGCTAATCAAGATACCAAAGATATAAAAGTAAAGCAATCTTTACAGGCATCTTCACCTAGGGTAGCAGGAGTAAGAAGGCCTTGTTGATACTTTGAGACTTCCTGATATGAAATACAGAGGTAAGAGGTTCTTTCTCTCCTTTGAAGATAAACAGACCTTGTGGGCAGGCAGAATAACGGCCTCCCAGAGTTGTCCATGTCCTAATCCCCAGAACCTGTGAATATGTTACCTTACATGGCAAAAGGGATTTTGCAGATGTGATTAAATTAATGATCTTGCGATAGGGAGATTATCCAGGATTATCCAGGTGAACCAATGTAATCACAGAGTGCTTATAAGTGAAAGAGGGCAACGGGAGTGTCAGAATCGAGTGTAGCAGCCCGAGAACGACTGGACTGGCCATTGTTGGCTTTGAAGACGGAAGGGGGCTACAGGTCAAGGAAGGTGGGCCGCCTCCAGAGCTGGAAAAGGCAAGAAAGTGGATTATCTCTTAGAGCCACCTGAAGGAACGCAGCCCTCCGACACTTTGATTTTAGGCTAGTGAGACCCTCTTTGGACTTCTGACATCCAGAACCGTAAGATAATAAATGTGTGGTAGTAAGCCACCAAATTTGTAGGTAATTTGTTCAGAAACAGCAGGAAATTAATATATACCTCAGAATTAAAGTCTGTGATTAGGAAGGTGAGAAGCATAAGCAGCATTTTTAGAGTATTGTTCTTAAATACTTTTCTCGCATGAAAATTTAAACAGGTGATTTCCATCAGCGCATCTTCACGCTTGCTTATTGATCACATTTACAATTTGGTTTCAAGACTATTGACTCAAAGCTTGAAAAAAAATTTTAATTGTACTGTTTCTTCAATAAAATGTAGCATTTTTGAAAATGTGCCAGCAACTGAGCTAAGGATATTCACAGATTATCCAGGCTTAAAAAGTTACTAAGAGGAAAATATGCTTACATGAAATTATGTTTTAATGTTCCTTCATTCTTGGAAATCTAATTCACATTAAGTTTAGTCATTTGGATCTCTTGCTTTGAAAAAAAAATTTAATAAAATTATGTCTAAAACTAACACATTTTCCTTAGAAGAGCTTCGATATGACCATACAATGTATCAAACAGGGAAACACCTACAAAGTCAAACTGAGATTTAATCTCAAACTCTTAACATGAGTAAATATTTCAGGTACATAAGAAGATAAAAAACAGATAAACAAAAAGTAAACTTTTATTTTCAATTTTAAAAAATGATGTTGATGTTTGTCTACACTAGTGCTGACAGAAATATAACACAAGCCACATATGTAATTTAAAATTTTCTACTAGCCACATTAAAAAAGTAAAAACAGGTGAAATTCATTTCAATAATGTATTTTATTTAACCCAATATACACAACATATTATCATTTCAACATGGCATCAATAGAAAAACAGTATTAGTGAGATGTTTAACATTCCTTTTTTGTGCTAAGTCTTTGAAATTGGTGTGTATTTTATACTTAAAGCACATAATTGAGACCCGCCACATTTCAAGCGCTCCATGTGGCCACCATACTGGACAATGCAGGTCTATATGCTTTATACTCTTATACACGGTTCTCAGTTCCCCATGATCTTCTACATTAACTTACATACACCAGTGTTACATCAGTGATTTACCAGCTATCTTAGCTGTCTTTTGGAAATCGAGGAATGCTGTGTTCATCAGGTAAACACAGTTGTGGTCAAAACTTCTATCAAGTGTGACAAAAATTTTATCACCTGCCTTGACATCCATTTATCATCAAGGGTATACAGGAGCCGAATAACTGTCACCTTTTTAGTCTGGCCTCAGACTGCAATAAATAACAAGCAATAGGATAAGCATTGTAAAAATATTTTTTAATTTGTATAATCTTTGAATTTTTCCATCTCAGAAGAATGAGAAAGAAAATTTACCATGTAACTTTTAAGGGAGAAATCAAAAGCAGACGGTTCTCCTGGGTATGGCCAGAACACAGAAATTAAAAAATAAATAAAAGAAAAATAAAACTAAAACCCATAAAATGGTAACAAAAGAAAATAAACTAAGCCCTTTGGAAATACATGCACTGTTAATTCTGTTTTAAGTATAATGAAAAACATTTCACCTCAGCATTACCTATCAAAGTTTACTGAAAATCACAAAGTCCTTCTTAAGTGCAATTTCAAAGACAGTCTTTCGACCATATTTGAAAGACATAAATAATTTCCCCTTGCACGAAATCAAAAGCCAGGGAAATAGGCCAGAAATTACAGCACATTACTTGTGTCTGAAGAATGGGAATAAGAGGTTTTATCTTCCCTAACTCCAGCCTAAACTTAAGCCTAATCCAAACCCAGATCCTCCTCATTCCAGAAATCCACCTGAGAGAAGTAATGAGAACACATTAACTAAGAATTTGCTAGATAGACATCTCAGTAATTGTTGCTGTGCTCTATTCTGTAGCCCTTTAATGGACTTAATAATTGGCACTGTCTGAAGAGGTGAAGAGCTTTTACACATTCAGTGTTTCTAACACACGTCCCTTCAAGCAACAACTATACCAACAGTATGTTGACAAAACTTTATGGAAGATATAAATGTTAGAATCTGTGTATTTCTTTATTTAATAAGCTTGATAATTATCACAAACAAATTATAATGGGACTGAGTGATAGTGAACAGGATGGTGGAAAGTCTGAATTTCAATAATGGAGTAAACTTTTGAAAAGCAGCAAGTTCTCAATCACCAAAAGTATCTAGCAGAGAACGCCAGGTCCAGAGTACTGGGGATTGAACCAGGTGACCATCATTCTAGAGTTCTGTTTAAGATTCTACGTGATGGGGCCGGCCCCATGGCTTAGCGGTTAAGTGCGTGCGCTCCGCTACTGGTGGCCCAGGTTTGGATCCCGGGCGTGCACCGACGCACTGCTTCTCTGGCCATGCTGAGGCCGCGTCCCACATACAGCAAGTAGAAGGATGTGCAACTATCACATACAACTGTCTACTGGGGCTTTGGGGAAAAAAAAGGAGGAGGACTGGCAATAGATGTTAGCTCAGAGCCAGTCTTCCTCAGCAAAAAGAGGATGATTGGCATGGATGTTAGCTCAGGGCTGATCTTCCTCTCACACACACACAAAAAAGATTCTATATGAGAAAAAGACTGGAAGGAAAGGAGAATATTAGTGAATATTCTCTTTAATGAACTATGTATGCTCTTTTTTCCTTCTACTTCTCATTAAACATCATGTTTTCCTTTCATAATGGTTTTTAAAAGGGTGCTTTTTAAAAGTTGTTACTCAAAAAATCTATAAGGAGAGTGACAATATAACTTATTGTTCAAACTGGACACTTTGAGGGAGAAAGGAGACATTATTAATAATTATGCTAAGATAATAGGTATAAACTGGGCCTATCCTGGATAAACCAGAACATATGGCCACTCTACCTAGATATTATATTTCTATTGTTTGTATTAATACTTTGTCATGACTAGTGAAATCTGGATATAAATAAAGCTGTACATATCCATATAATACTTTTCTAGATTCGATTTGAATACATTCGTTAATTTTTTGACAGGGGTGCCATTTTTCATCATGTATCCTAATTGAACATTTTAAAAAAGATAGTACTCAGTTAATCACAGAAAATTAGATACAGCTGACTTTATGTTTTCACAAAGGAGAAGGGAGTAAAAAGATTTTTAAAAATCACATGAAATAATTTAAATATGTATGTATGCATGTAAATAATATATGTTCATTCTGTAATCTAGGTAAACTAAATCCAGAGTATAAACATCAAAGAAGAAAAAAGGAAAATAGTCAACAACAAAGAAACAGTTACTTCTGGGAGCACCAAAATTCTACTCTTCCGGCAAGCTGAAAGGGTAGACTATTGTCAGGCCAGAGCCTAAAAGTGTTCACTTATGTTTTTACGTGGGTATATCTTAAAACCCTGGGCTGACGTCTTGTTATAAAAAATAAGACATGGTAAAGAGTTGTCTGTTGTTTTGGAGCTATTTGGTTAAATATGGTTAAATACTGTTTTATACGTAAGAAGTATTTTGTGACTAGTTTTTCCATTACTGCTTCAAAAAAAAAATTCAATAAAGCTAATTTCGGTACAGAAAACCACTCTGTTAAAAGACTGAGCAACTCTTAACTAAACAATAGGACCACATACTTCTCCTTTTCTCTGGTTCCTTTCAAGACATGTTGTAATTTTATAGTCAATCTCAAACATAAAAGAAATGAGAAATTAAACTTAATTTACAAAAAGACAAGTTCTCATTAATTTATCTCAGGTGGATCCCAGAAGCAGCATCTAGGTTTTGACTCCAAAATAAATTTCTATTAACAAGCCTCAGAACAGTTCCAGGGGAACCATTCCAGCAAGGAACTTTAGGTAACAGTTAAGAAGGGCAAAAGATGAACGCAGATTTTGTATCAGTCCTTGAAGGCAGACCCAGGGCAATTCCGAATTCTGTGCTTTGTTTTAAAAACATTTATCAATTAGTACATAGTGTCCACCCTTTGGCAGCCCAAAGAAAAAGGGGCAGTGAGGACACAGCATGAAGCTGAGAGAAACGGCATGTGCTTTTAGATTCCCCAAAGAGAAAAGGAAGCTTGTGTCATTTTAAAATGAAAATTACAGGGGAGAAGCAATTGAATCGGGTAAATTAAAAAATTTTTGGTAGTAGCAAATCCTTGAAGTCAATGAAAGAAGCCCTCAGAAAGATCAATTTCCTTTGCTTCACAAGAATTCAATCAAATTATTTTCTTGGTAAGGAGCAAGTCCTCAACACCTGATGAAATTATACTGGGCTTCCAGTTGTTAGAGTCCAGTTAAGAATATTTTAAAGTGCATACACTTAAAACCAAAAACATTTAAATTACTACTTTAGATAAACTGTGGTCAATAATCTTCACATATTTATTTTACATTCACGTGCTTCTCATATCTAAACCATTGTCATTCTTCCACCTTGTATCTAAAAACGTAACAAAAAATAAAAGCAAACTTAAAGGAACAGAAATCCATTGTGAGGATATTACAAGCATAAATAGTTTTACTGGTTACAGTTTGAATAGATTTCACTTTAAAAATACTTACCAAGTTAAGTGCTGGAGAAAATTCTGTATAGGGATATTAATCTTTTTTGTTTTAACTGAAAACTGGAAGCTTAGAGTACAATTACCTCTTTAATAATTAACAAATAATTATTATAGTCAGAATTAAATACTGTTAATGTTGATGCATTCTACAAAGGAATGGACTAATAATCAGGAGCATTAAAAGAGTAGATACATTTGTATTAGTACAGATGGGGCAGGATGCATATATAACTCTGGAGATATATGGTATTCATTCCCAAAGTATGGTCAATTTGGAGCAGGGAATTGAAAAGAGGTAAATATTAACTCATTTATTTGCTTTATTTAGCTTTTCTCAAACTACAGTCTTAGAGATTTAATCATAGCCAAGGGCTGTTTTCAAAGTTCAGTAGGGATGACCCAACAAAAATTAATTCAAAAATTGGTCTAACCTAAAAATGCAAGTAGAACTGAATACAGCAAGGTAAATATTTACAAGCTGGGCCCCAGCTGATTGTGTCTGCGGGGTATATTTCATTTGTTGAGGAGGAAGAAAACTTCAAATGAAACTTTCCCAAATTCAATTCATCAAATATTTTTTCACAACACCATTTTAAGACTTTACCATTCCCTCGTTCCTAAAAACACTGCTGCTGCTTTTAGTGCATAACAATTCTAAATCATATAGATTGGGAATTTAAAATAGTAAATTAGGGGAAAATAAGTTTCAATCAAAATTTTCAATTCTTATATAGAACACATTTAGAAGTGAATACACATATCAAACTGTACACTGTTACTACTTTCATTCCTATGCAAAAAACCACCTCGCTGTATTTGTAACTGAAGGGACTCAACATCCTGAAGCCTGCCTCCCTGGGTGTAACTTAAAGGAGGAAATCAGCTCATAGTGAATTCCTGAGTCACCACTCCCTGTATTTAAGCCTTGTCAAAATTTACTCAAAGAGGGCAAGTCAACTGAATACCTGAAATATTAAATTTGTTCTAAGTATGTCATTTTGAAGTTCAATTTTTAAAAGCTGAATTGTTCTGAGAGAATTTAGAAGAGAATTCTCATAGAATTTCACTTTGTCCATTGTGCTCTCTCTTCCTTTAAAATAAGAAGCTTAGGCCAAATGTAAGTCTCATAAGGGATGGCATCTCCTACATCCCATCTTCCTCGCAGCTACACTCTCCCCTCAAACTTCCCCGTTTAAGTATTAGGATAGAGTTTGGCCATGTGGTAGCTTATTTTTAGAGATAATCTAATCCAAGCTAGATAGTTGGGATACTTTCTGCAGGCTCGAGAAACAGGTTAAGTTCTCTGATTACTTACTATTTAAAATAAAACAAAACTAAAAAGAAACCAAGCACACTTAATACTGAAATGGAGCTTACCTTAGAGCCACGTTCATTAAAGATTATTTCTACATCTAGGATTTTGCCAAACTGCTGCAGAGACAAAAAAAAACCACATTTATTTATGGTCAGCTTTTTATCCACACACTTTACTTTCTTCTGAAAAAGGAACAGTGTTTATTTTTCTTTAAACTACTTATTTAACTTCTATGTTTCTATTTGTTGGTAGGTCCCAATACCAGTTTCTGATTTCTCCTTATCACTGAGGTGACAGGTTCTCCTTTTTCACTTCAGCCACGCAGGCATTGCCCACCTCTACCTGGTGGAAGCTGTTTGCAGAAGATATTCACAATGTTACCCTATTACATGCTTCTTCACACGGACAAGAACTGGAGATTTTCCTCACTACATCTCTAACTGTTCAAATGTCTCAATTTTAAGAAGTAAATCCTAAGTAGAAAGATATACTATTGAAGGCTGTTCTTCTTCCCCTTCTTTTTTTTTATTTTTATAAGTAAACCATGTTCACTGTAAAAATTAGAAAATATAGATAAATAAAAAGGAAAAGGGAAAACAGCAAATGAAGACCATCTGCAGTCTTGCCATCTTTAACATTCTGGCACACAGCCTTCCCGGCTTTTCCTTACGCATATATATATATATAACAAGACACAACTGACACAGTACATATACTGCTTTTTAAAAAAAATTTTTAACTTAATATACTACACACAACTGTCCAAGTCAATAAATACATATCTGTTATCATTTTTATAGGCTACATGCTATTTTCCATCATACCAAACATTCATGGACATTATGGATGATTCCATTTATTTGCTAATTTAATATTTCTGCAATGAACATCATCAAGAATACTTTAAATAATAACTTTGTTTTGTAATTAATTAAATATCTTAACATTTGGAAAATCTAACAAAGCTAAAAACACAAAGCCTGAGTAACTCTATTGTTAGGTAGCTAAATAGCTGGCTAGAGAGGGGCCAACACAAAACGTGGTAACTATCTGGAGGAGAGCTTACGTAAGGTGACAAAACTACCTGTTTTAATTAATACTTGGATGAAATGAATTGACAGGGACATGCAATAAATCTCCAGAGCTCTCTTTGGCTCACACTTCCCTCCAAGTACCGGACTCACATACCCATTTATCTACTTCACTTGGATTTCAAACCAGACTTTGGGAAATGGAAAAAACTAAACAGTGAAAAGAGCAAAAGAGAAATCATGCTTTCTCACCGGGTTGAATCATTACTATCTTTATCAAAAAAACATGTATTAAGAGCCCACGTTTTCTACAGTAAGACTTCTGGGCTTGATTCCAGTTTCATCATTGAATAGAAAATTAGGAAAATCAAGGAAAGAGGAAAATGTCTTATTTTAGGTAGGAGGGCATTTAATTTTATTTCTATGCCTCTCCAAAAAACTAAGATTTGTATGGTGTCTATTTCAGAGTTTGAGGGTTTTTTTTGGTGAGGAAGATTAGCCCTGAGCTAACATCTGCCAATCCTCCTCTTTTTGCTGAGGAAGACTGGCCCTGGGCTAACATCCGTGCCCATCTTCCTCCACTTTATATGGGACGCCTGCCACAGCATGGTCCGACAAGCGGTGCGTTGGTGTGCTCCTGGGATCTGCACTGGCGAACCCCGGGCTGCCACAGTGGAGCGCGCACACTCAACTGCTTGCGCCACCGGGCAGGGCCCCTTGTTTTGTTTTTTTTTACATTTTCTAATGTATACTTAAAACATCCTTCTAGAGTAAGGATTGCCTTTATTTATTTTTATTTTTTTAAAGATTTTATTTATTTATTTATTTTCCCCCCAAAGCCCCAGTAGATAGTTGTGTGTCATAGCTGCACATCCTTCTAGTTCCTGTATGTGGGATGCGGCCTCAGCATGGCCGGAGAAGCGGTGCATCGGTGCGCGCCCAGGATCCGAACCCGGGCCGCCAGCAGCGGAGCTCGCGCACTTAACTGCTAAGCCACGGGGCCGGCCCCATGCTTTTCTTTAATGGTTAAGGAAAATGAGGCTGAAAGAAGCTACTCGTCAAGTTTACAGAGCTAATAAAAAAATGGAGCATGAAATCCCTACTCTTTACCATTGCTACTGTCCTTCTAAGTAATAGGTACTAACCACGAAGAAGAAGACAGAACAACCAGGTATTCCTTGCAAGGAAAATTTAATTTTTTTGCACTTATTGCCTCGTGGGAAGGGCATAATACATTGCAAGAAATCAATGATAACTGGCCAAGGCAGATCTTCAATGGACACTATTTTTCTGATGCAAGAGAAAACGCACTTCTGACAGAAGAGAATGTACTCCATTTTCACAGACCTCCAGAGAGTAAGAATCTATATTATCTCTGATAATTCAGTACAGAACCTAATAACTCGCAGTCCCAGGAAGTTTCTTCTTAAATGTAACCTAAATTCTTTATGCTGCCCTTTATATTTTCTGTTGCTCTCTTCTCTGTAGAGATGAAGAACAGTTGGCTACCATTTCCTGTGTAAAAACTCTTCAAATACTTCAAAAACATCATTAAATCTCAACCCTGGCCTTGCCTTCAGCGTAGAAAACACATCCAGTAAGTGACAGAACTTTGCTCCAGGGCCTTGTCACCATGAAGTGGCCACAGCCAAGACTTAAAGAAGGGCATGTGCTTTCCTGACAAAGTACTAGGCAGCTATACTAATAAAACTTTTTAAAAAACAATTTTCTCTTAGTCCTAGCTCAAGTTAAGAGTTTGGTCAGATTAAAACAGGCAAAAACACATCTGCCCAGAAAAAAATTAAGATTCTAGTAGTCATTCACTTCCCAATAAGTTAAAGCTTTGCTATTACCCTTTGCTTTCGTGACCGTGATTTCAGGAGGAAGAAGACAGCGGCAAGAGTGCATCAGAGGCGGCACACCACCCACACCTGACTGTAGACAGCGGCATCGGCACTGCAGAGTTATGAGTAAAGAAGTGAAGACAGAATACAGGTGCCATCTGCTCGCAGCTATTATTCCAGTTAATTCATAACACTCGGAAAGGTAGGGATTACTATCTTGTCCCGATTTTAGCTCTGAAAGTCTCACGTCCCAAGAACCCCCCAGTCCCAGGCAAACCGGGTTGGACAGTCACCTTCAGTATGTGAGAACTTCAAGGCTAATGTCTAGAATAGACTAGGTGGTAGGAAAAGTTTCTAAAGACTAATGAAAATATTGATTTACCTCAGGATCTTTCTTAATCTATTTGTTTTATCCTAAAGTATCAACAACTAATAATACATCTGGTGGATTAAATTATATTTTAATTGTAAAACCCAGAGAAGGACTTCAGAGACTTACCCCAAACATCTGCCGGAGGTCCGGGTCCCGGAAGCGGAAAGGAATATTAGAGACATGGAGTCGTTTGGGGGTAGATTTACTCTCTGAATTTTCACTACTTTGTGTCTGTGACTGCTGGCCGTCTGTCTGTGCTCCCCCTTCTGTCTGCTAAGCAAAGAAATAAACAACCATGAATGAAAAATTAGTACAATTACTTCACAAGAACTATGTAAAATAATTAATGTCCTCCCCACTCCAACTGTTTTCAAACAGTGTCCGTAAGCAAAAATTACAGCTATCCTTTCAAAGAGAAAACAAAGATGTTATCTATGGTCAAAATGCTGTAGTTTACAAACAAAATTTGGGTCTTTTGAATATTCTTAGAGTCTTATAGAGCTTTCCATTTTTGAGATCTTCCCATGTCAAAAATGAAGAGTCTGTCGTACTTAGTTGTGGAGATCACTGCCTTTTTTGTCTATTATTTCAGGAAACAAGGAAATATTTTTATATTTCCTTTCCTCTATTAGTTGCAGAGGTGATGACTACTAGGTTACCAAAGTATTATAATATTATTTATAAAGAGGAGACACCTACTGACAATGGGCACTTTGCTTAAAAACTGAAGCTTCTTAACTCTGAAACCAATCTATACTCTCCTCCCTAATTTACATAATTCCAGCTAACTTTAGCACAGGGGAACCCAACCTTTATAGCCCAGAGCAAGTTGCATTTAGAAAATCTGCTGGGAAAGGCTTTATGGGCCCCTGACTAATCTACTACACACGTATAAATGCTAGTTTGTATACATCCATAGTGAGGGAGAAGAAGAGAATGTGGGTGTGCATTTTTAATATGAATCTCTTTTGCAACATCCCAGGCATGCGTTTAGTTTTTTTTTCAATAAATCCTCAAAAAAAGTTGCTGTGTTGAGAAATACTTTTGACAAACATCTAACAGGTGTGATACATTCTAGGCATTCAAAAACCATTTATTTTGAAGTATTCATCTGGCTATTTAAGAACCTTATGTTTTTACTATTCCCTATGAAGTGCATGCCAAACCAGATGGCTCACTGAGCTGATTAAACCAACATACTTTTAAAACAGGAGTGGAACTTGCTGTTCTTATTATGTCGACTGAGTTAGAACTGAGTCCGTAACAGATTCTTCAGGGTGACACACAACGGATCCCCTCCCTTTGACCCAATGTTCAGCTAAAAGAAACTGTGAATCAGAGATACTTTTGGCTCAGCGGTGTTAGCACTATCTTAATGAAATTTGAGACTTTAAAATATAAAAGATAATTAGGAATAAACTCTGAATGAATATCAGCTTTTCAAGTGTCAATCTAAATGATGGCAGCTTTTATCGCATGCCATTCAGGCCTTGCAGATGGCTTAAATGTGCAGTGATTCATGTGATATAAAAATAGCAGAAAAAGGAAGAACTATGAAGCAATGTTCTGCGAAAGTGTAAGGTTTTCAATCACCAATCTGGGCACAATGCAGATTAAACAAAACAAATTCCATTCAAAGATGAAACTCACTAAGTTACTAAAACAGAAACATGGACACCAAAGCAATAAGCATAAGCATCAATTACAACTAACGCTCATTCAAGCACCTTCAAACTCGCCTCTTACATCTCACAGCTGGATCACATAAAACTACTTGTTCAATCAAACTTTAAAACCACTAGATCTGATCTACAGGATGACAGTGTACCACTCTAAGAAAAGTTAAAAAGACTGATTCTAGCTCCAAACCACTGTTTTATTATATAACTTATATGTGTAGTCCACGTAATCTGTAATATTGTATGTGAGGTGGCAGGATAAATGAAAACTAATGATTACTTCAAAGTATGTTGCCTGAGGTACTCCTTTATGCTCTTGAGAGTTTTTTACAGCCTTGAAGACACAATTTAAGAAGGTTAGAAGCCAGACTGGTTAATTGTTCGGCCTTGTAGCGAACATCTACATTTTTTAAAAGTATGAAATCTTTAATTCTAGGGAGACTTGGCAAGCGGAAAAAGTGAACTAGCATTTCTAAAATTCTCAAGACTTCTGATTTAACACAAATTTTAAAATTGAAGTTTAACATACAAATGTACAAACAGCAGAACTCCAGGAGCACCTGTGGGCCCCACTCCAGTCGCTGCTCCCGGTCATCACTGCCCTGATCTAACTCCAGAGATTAGTTTTGCCGTTTCTGAACATAACAAAAAAAAAGGAATCATACAGCATGACTCTTTTGTGTCTGGCTTCTTTTACACATTGTATTTGTGTAATACACACACACACACACACACACACTCTCTCTGTTCTAATTCATCATTCTTCCATTTTATAAACACACAGAATTTATTTGAGCTGCTTCCAGTTTGTGGCTATTAAGGATAATGTTCCTACCAATATTCCTGTTACATGTCTTTTGGTGCACACAAGCAGGCATTTCCCTTGGGTGTATATACATCCAGAAGTGGACCTGCCGGGTTAAGGATATGTGTAAATTCCGCCTTACAGATACTGCCCGTTTTCCAAAGCGGGTGCACTCACTCCTACTGCCACCAACTGTGTATGAGAGGTCTAGCTGCACTTAGGATTGTCATTTTCATTTCAACTATTCTAGTGGGAGGTAGTGGCATCATATTGTGGCTTTAATTTGCTGTCCTCTCTTTAAAACTAAGATCCTTTCTTCTTTTCACTTATAGAATTTTGTTGAAAAATGGGAATTCCCTGTAAAATAGCAACTATTTCTTGACTGCATACTCTATGACAGCCTTATGTAAGCCTTTTAATAATAATTAGTACTTAAATAGTGTTTAGTATTTGCCAGACACTGGCCTAAGTATTTTATATATTTTAATTAATGTAATTCATTCAACAACCCTAACAGTAGGCACAATTTTTTTTTAACTGAGAACACAGTACGTACTATTTTTTACCCCACTTTTCAGATGAGGAGTCTGAGGAACACAAAGACTACCTAAGTAATGCAGCAGGGATTTGAACAGAGGCAGTCTGCCTCTAGAGTATATGTTCTTAACCACTATATGATATTGTCGTTTACATATACTATTTTCTTTAATCCTCCTAATAATCTGAGGCAGGTACTCTTATTATCTCCAACTGACCAAGGCAGAAAGTAAGGCATAGAGAGAGGTTAAGTTAGTTGCCCAAGGTCACACCTTAAGTGGCAGAGTAGGAATTCAAAATGAGGCAGCCCAATTTCATGTGCTAGCTTTTCTTTCTAGCCCTGTACCCATGCTCTCCTCCTTGCTTCTCATTAGGAGGGAGAACATGTGTAGATCCCATTCTCTCAGTTTTTCAGGACCCTCACCTGAAGGAGCAAGACTTCTCCTGGGGTGGAAGTAGACATGGGGGTAAGGGAAAGGGACAGCTATACAGGAGGTGACATATAGTCTACAGCCTGAAGGAAGAGGAGCAGGTCAGGCCACAAAGGGGAGGAAAAGGGGAGGAGAGAAGACCAGCCAAGGCACGCTGACATTTACGAAGGAAAACAGCCAGAGAACTGCAAAACTGATACTCCAAGGGGCCGAAAAGCAGGTTTCTGTACATAATAGACACAGGAATAAGAAATACACATTGAATGTAGTTAAATGAGATCATATTTCCCATCTGACATTCTCAACTTTAAGTTTACCTCAATATAGACTACTAACTGTTGAAACAGACAAATCGGAGAGAAAAAGTAAATAAAAGTTTTTAGGCTATATCTTTGTGAAAAGTGGACAGTTAAGCTGTTCTGAGAAAAATCTTGGTCAGTACAGCATTGGTTTGCTTTATTTTCCATTGTTAACTGCTGAGCAACTTTACTGACTGTATAAACAACGTCCCAAGGTTCTGTTGTTCCCTTCTGTGGTCATTTTGTGACCTAATGTCTTCACTGGGCAGGGGATGAAACAGAAGAGGCTGGAGTCTGTCCCCCAAGAGTTTACAGTGAGGACTGGCAGCAGCACTGCTCGATGCACTAGAGGACTCAAGTCCACATGTCCACACTGTCAACAACTCGGCTTCCCCAGTGAGGTGTAGCTGCAGTCAACACCGCAAAGGGACCCAGGGCTTTTTACAGTGATGAGCAAATCAGACTTTTTTTTTTTCTCCTATAACTTTATTTATTTATTTTTTTCCCCCAAAGCCCCAGTAGATAGTTGTATGTCATAGCTGCACATCCTTCTAGTTGCTGTATGTGGGACACGGCCTCAGCATGGCCAGACAAGCAGTGCGTCGGTGCGCGCATGGGATCCGAACCCGGGCTGCCTGTAGTGGAGCGCGTGCACGTAACCGCTAAGCCACGGGGCCAGCCCGCAAATCAGACTCTTAAGTCTCAAAAACGCATCCTAGAAATGAGCACTAAAAATGTTTTGCTTTGATGAACTCAAACTTTTAAAATTCTTATAACTGGGAAATGGATTAATTTTTGACTCCCCTATGAAACAATGGGAATATTTTATTTATACATTGTGAACAAATGTTCTGTTATGTTCTGAAAGTCAACTCTGGGCAATACAAGATGAAGTATTACTTTCCAAGTCTTTACCATAATAAGACAACATATAATCTGAGATACTAAGGCATCTCTTAATTCAGGAATAATATTTTGATTTATGGATTATCCATTTTCTTCAATATTTATTTTTCCTTTGGTTTTCTGGGATGTCTTCATTTCTTATTTTCACCTCTGTGAGGCTAAAGGGGAAAAAGAGGAAGAGGAAATTCAATTTAGCACAGTAAATTTCTTGAGAATCTGATTCATGTCTGAAAACATCTACTAAACCAACCCATTTAGTGATAGTCTGGGTACAGAAATCTAGGTTGAAAAAAAATTCCTTTAGAATTTTGAAGGCAACTCTCAACTGTTATCTAGCTTCCAGTGTTGGTGCTGAGAAACCCAAAGGCATTATGATTCATGTCTCCTTAGATGTGACTTTTTCCCCATCCTCTCTGGTTTGTAGACTGTCTAAATATGTCCAGTGTCCTAATTTCATATGTGCTATACGACATGCCTTAATGTTGGTTTATTTTATTTTGATCTATTTTGCTGGGAATTCTGTGGTCTCTTTTAAGTTGGAAATTAATGTCTTTCAGTCCTGGAACATTTTCCTGAATTATTTCACTGATGATTCCTACCCTATATACATTTTGTC